GGCTGATACAGGAGCCACCCATATGTTTGTAGATGTGAAAATTGCTACAAAATTGGGGCTCAAGTTTTCTAAAAGCCCTTCCTACGTCAAAACAATCAATGCTAAGGCACATGCCATTGTGGGTATGGCTTATGGTGTGTCTATGTCGACTGGAAGTTGGGTGGGAAAACATAATTTGATGGTAATGCCGCTTGGTGAATTTGAGATCATACTTGGGATTGATTTTCTAAGAAAATTCCAGTTTGTTTTGTTTCCTCACTTAGATGGAGTGATGGTCATGAATGGAAGCAATGCTGGATTTCTTAAAGGAGTTCATCCATTTGGAAACATTAATAAAGTTGCAAAGAAGAAAGACAAAGGAATGTTCTTGTCTGCTATGTCAATCGACAAAGGACTGAAGAAAGGTGATGACACTATACTTGTTGCCTTGGTTGAAGTGAAACCTGATGTTAAGATGGAAGTGCCTGATTGTGTTGTTGAATTGCTTAAAAAGTATGCTACCACCTGAATTACCAAAGAAATTACCACCAAGGAGGGATATTGATCATAAAATTGAGTTGCTCTCTGGTACGGTTGCTCCTGCACAGGATCCTTATCGTATGACTTCTAAGGAATTGGTTGAATTACGCAAACAATTGAACGAGTTATTAGATGTTGGATTGATTCAGCCACCTAAGGATCCATATGGTGCCCCTGTTTTATTTCAAAAGAAACACGATAGGACTATGCGAATGTGTGTAGACTACAGGGTGCTGAACAAGGCAACTATAAAGAACAAGTATCTGGTTCCATTGGTGCAGGATTTGATGGACAGGTTGAGTAAGGCATGCTGGTTCACAAAACTTGATCTCAGGGCGGGTTATTGGCAGGTTAGGATAGCAGAAGGTGATAAACAAAAAACAACATGTGTAACTACATATGGTTCATATGAATTCCTTGTAATGCCATTTGGGCTGACTAATGCTCCGACAATGTTTTGCAACTTAATGAAAAATGTATTGTTTGACTATCTTGATGACTTTGTTATTGTCTATCTAGATGATATTGTCATTTATAGTCGAACACTGGAGGAACATGTTAATCACTTAAGTTTGGTTTTGTCTCAGTTGAGAAAATACATACTTTATGTTAAGATTGAAAAGTGTGAGTTTGCTCAACAAGAGATAAAAATTTTAGGGCATCTTGTTAGTAAAAACCAAGTTTGAATGGATCCTAAGAAAGTGCAAGCCATTGTTGATTGGCAGGCACCTCGTCATGTGAAGGATTTGAGGTCGTTTCTTGGCTTGGCTAACTATTACAGAAAATTCATTGCTGGTTACTCAAAAAGGGCAACAGCTTTGACAGATTTGTTGAAGTAGGATACAAAATGGGTTTGGTCTGAACGATGTGATGAAGCATTTCAGAATTTAAAGAATGCTATTACATCTGAACCTATACTCAAATTGCCGGATTTTGAGTTACCATTTGAAGTGCACACTGATGCGTCAGACAAAGAAATTGGTGGTGTATTAGTGCAGGAAGGTCATCCAGTGGCCTTTGAAAGTAGGAAATTGAATGATGCTGCACAACGATACTCAACACATGAAAAAGAAATGGTTGCGATGGTACACTGTTTGTAGGCTTAGAGAGTTCATCTCCTGGGTACTCGATTTGTAGTAAGAACTGATAACATAGCAAATACATTTTTCAAGACACAGAAAAAGTTAAATCCTAAACAAGCACGGTGACAAGAATTCCTGGCAGAATATGATTTCATGTGGGAACATAAATCAGGAAAACACAACCAGGTTGTTGATGCACTGAGTAGAAAAGAAATGTTTGTTGCAGTATATTTAATTTCAAAACTCGAAACTAATTTCTATGATAGATTCAGGTTGTATGCTACAAATGATTAATTGTATGTTAAATGGATGGGTCAAGTGCAAGATGGCAAAATGAGACGGTATTGGATCGAGGACGATCTGCTCTATTTTAAAAGGGGGAGAATCGTTGTACCAAATCAAGGGGGATTGCGCAAAGACTTAATGAAAGAGGCACATGATTCTGGTTGGGTTGGACATCCAGGTGATGAAAGGATGTTAGCCTTACTGTCTCGAGTTTATTTTTGGCTAAAGATGGAAGACGATATAGAGGCATATGTCAAAACTTATCATGTTTGTCAAGTTGACAAGACATAACGTAAGAAAGAAGCAGGTTTGTTGCAACCTTTGCCTGTTCCTGAAAGGTCATGGCTATCAGTAAGCATGGATTTCATTTCTGGATTTCCTAAGGTAGATGGCAAAGCATCTATCATGGTGGTAGTTGATAGGTTTTCCAAATATTCTGTTTTTATTGCTGCACCTAAACTATGTTCATCTGAAGTTGCTGCTGATTTGTTCTACAAATATGTGGTTAAGTATTTTGGTGTTCCGGCTGACATTGTAAGTGATAGAGATACAAGGTTTACTGGTAGATTTTTGACAACTTTGTTTAATATGATGGGAATCGAGTTAAAATTTTCTACTGCAAATCATCCACAAACAGATGGACAGACGGAAAGAATTAATCATTTGTTGGAAGAATACTTGAGGCACTATGTGACAGCAAGTCAACGAAATTGGGTGACATTGTTAGACACTGCGCAGTTCTACTATAATCTGCACAAGTCGTCTGCAACAGAAATGAGCCCTTTTGAAATCGTTTTAGGCAAACATCCTATAACGCCACTAGATATTGCCAAATCTAAAAATCAGGGAAAGTGTCCAGCAGCATACAGGTTGCAAGGGACAGACTTGAAATGTTATCTGAGGCACAAGATAGCTTGTACAAGGCTCAGCGGTGCATGAAGAAGTATGCTGATCAACATCGTAGCTCAGTTGAGTTTAATGTGGGTGACAAGGTGTTACTGAAACTTACCCCACAAATCTGGAAACAGATTGTAAGTAAGAACACACATCGAGGTTTGATTCCTAAGTATGATGGTCCATTCGAAGTGGTGAAACGAGTGAGCGAAGTTGCTTAAAGGTTAAAGTTGCTAGAAAGGTTGAAAATTCATCCCACTTTCCATGTGAGTTTCTTGAAACCTTACTTTGCAGATGCAGATAATCCAGACAGAAACAGGTCAAAGAGGGCTCCTCTATCAGTACCTACATAGTATAATGCTGAAATTGAGAAGATCCTTGATCACCGAGTTTTGGGAACAATTAAGAAGAATACTAAGATATAATTCTTGGTTCACTGGAAAGGCAAGAGTGCAGTTGATGCAGTTGGGAGAAGGCGAAAGACTCATGGTAGTTTGATGCTCAAATCGAGGACCATCTTAAAATAGTCTCGATGAGGACGTCGAGTTCAAGTGGTGTGGGTGGTCTGTTAGACCCGCAAACTACTTGATCTAACTACGTGCAGACATGTCAAGGACTTGGGCATTGATCTTGACATGGATGATGTCAAAACAGTGCAACACAGGTTCAAGGTGCTTGGATGTTGGCAAGGCAGCTTGAACATGCAAAGCTTACGTACGGGCTAGAGTCATCGGCAAGGCAACGTGTTGGCTTGACAAGGCAAAGCTGTGAAGACTTGACGATGGCAAGAACAAAGACATTTCACGTGAAGTGCTGAAATAAAACTAAGTGTTGGAGGGCAGCTAAAAAATTCTAAGTGTTGGAAGATGGCTGAAATATTCTAAGTGTTGGAATGTAGCCTAAAATATTCTAAGTGTTGGAATGTAGCCTGAAATATTCTAAGTGTTAGAATATTAGTATTTCGTGTGGATAAGAATGTAATTTGAATTAGATTTTATCTGTTAGAAATATAACTGTTGGAAACTTAGTTTGAACCCTGTGATGACAAGTGCCGGACAGGTGTCATTTGTAACTACCGCATGTAACTGCCATGTGCAGAAATTTTATTAAGGGTGGAAATTCGTCTAAGGTTGAGATAGAGTGTTTTTCTAGCCTTAAACAAATTCGTGAAGCCTTCCTTTGTATTAATTATCAGATTAATAAAGGTTGGGACAAGTTCCTGTAAAGTCTGTTTGTTGTTTAACTTTGCTACTAAAGTATTTCTATAGTTAGTCAAATTCGTGGGTGTAAAATAGGCTGAGTGTTATAAACGTTTGTAAGACTGCCTAGAGTGGTGTTCGGTAAAAATAAATCGACCCTCATTCAATTGGGCTATAGGTCGGGTGGACTTGAATAAGAAAGTGGGTCAAACAATTGGGCGATAAATTGGGTGGGCTTGAATAAGAAAGTGGCCCAAAATGAAGCGGGAGGGAGGGGGTTATGAGTGGTAAATATGAGAGAATGAGTTTATTAGGAATTACTTTCGGTGGTATGAACTTGTAATATTTTAGATTGTATGTCTCTTTTATGTAGTTTTTCCGAAATAAAAGTTCACTATTTTATTTAAATAATGATATAAATCAATTCGATTGATTAGGCTCGATCGGTTCACATTATTTTGACACCTCTCAAGAAAACAAACCTATACAGCACTTACCTTATTAATCCACTTACTCACAAATAGAAGTGACAAATGAGTGAATTATCGAATTTGAATGGACTGAATATGAATTGAGTTAAAAATAGATTGGATCACAACCCACTCATATTAAATCTATAGATAAATATAAATTTCATCAAATATAATTTGAGTAAACAAAAAAATGTGATTTAATCTCCTAAAACTAAAAAATATTAGATTAAAAATTGTTAATACCTCAACCCCTACGACCCACATCACCCCTATATATTATTATTTTGAATAATTTTTTCATGCAAAATTGTTTGTTTGTTTTTTGCCCTGTACCCCCACCCCACCCCATCCCCAAAATACTTTTTTTAAAAAAGCTTCTAATTTAATATGAGAAAAAATAGATCAGTTTCACTTATGTGAACTAAAATTGTCATCCTTATTCACAAATGCAAAAGACAAAAACAAATATTCTAATTATGATAAAATTAAGCGTCCAAAAGAATTTAAACATTAACCACATGTAGAATTATTTTTTAAAAAATAATAAAAAGGATAGAGAAGAGTTGTATTAAATGTGATGAAAATACAAATAACTGATTTTAATTAATGTTTCCTTGATTATTTTTAATCTTGCTATAAATTTTGTAATTTTGTGGTATCGGGCTGTCAAACAAATAACATTATCACCTCTCTTATTATATATAGATACAGATTGATTTGACACACTAAGTTTCAAAATGAGAAGGAGAAGTAAAACAATAAAATTTAAGATATAATTTTTAAAGGATATTGTGCAGTAAATATAGCTTTATTCTTCTCTAAATTAAAAATCTCAAATTCAGATTTTATACATAAAAAACTTAGCAATGACTTTCTCACGATCAATCCTTATATATCGTAAATAAAAAAATAATCAAATTTTAATATAAAAATAAAAATATAAAAAAAAAAAAGGTATATAGCATGAGTGCGTCAAAGGAGGAAATTAAACAGGTGTTACTGCATGCTGCTGACGCATATTTTCCTTTATCATTAATTACTACGCCACTTGTTCCTCTCTTGTTTCATTTATTCACCATACTCACACACACACACTCTGCTTATTATTTACTATTATTATTACCTCCCTTCCCAAGAAACTGCACAGACTTTGCAGAAGAAAAATGGAATCAAAGAAAATGATTAATTCACCAAGAAAAAGGATTAGGAAATATCATACAAGAAAAACTCCAATCATTAATTCTTATACAGATATGGCTGAAGCTAGAAGAGAAATTGTCCATGCTTTACACCTTCATAGATCTTCATCATTTAATAACCCAAACAATTATGCCTTATTGGGTCAAAGAGGTAACAAATACTTACATGTACAATAATTATACTATTCATCTATCTCCCCTTCTTCTCTATTGTATTCAGTCAGATTTTGTTTTTCCATATTTATTCTTTATTTAATAAGATTTTCAACTTACTTACATTTCTTAGAAAGTAATTTGAAAATAATTACTTTTGAAATTATTATTTTTCTCAAATGTTATGTTAATATATTCCAATAATTCTTGGATTAGAAAGAGTAATATGTGTGAAATGAAATTGTCCCCAAAAAATAAGTAGCAACTAGACATGAAATTTGATAAATAATGTTCTAAATAGCTTTCTTTCAGCATTACAAATTCAACCTCATTTGTTGTTACTCTTTCTAATTTTATTTTTTTTAACAGTAAATTCCCAACAATATTATTACTCAATAGTGGAATCTATGCCTATTCCTCAACCAACATGGTCTACAACGGCTCCGGCAATACATAAAACACCGCCGCCGCCATCACCACTGCCACCTTCTTCCAGTGGCGATGTTACGGAGTTCGATTGGTGGCTAGGGTTTCTTAAGTCATTGGATTTGAAGAAGAATACAAGTGAAGTAGAAAATATTTTGATGGAAAATTCAAAGGTGATTAGTCAATTACAAGATGGATTAAAGAAGGATGCAACTAATAATCTGATAGATGAGTGGTTAATTATTCCTACAGCTGATGATGATGATGTGTTAATTGAGTTTTAATTAAGTTAAAACCTAGCATTAGTTGAAGAAAAAACATTGTAAGTTGTTTATTTCATGATCAGTTTTCGTAATTTTTTGTATGTTTAATTCATTTATTTTATTTTATTATATTAGGAGAAGAGGTTAGTGGCTATTTTATGTGATTCTTCCTTATTTTGTTGCCTAATTCTACAATGCAATAATACAAACAATGTTCACCAACTCTAATACGTTATTTAGGAGAAGAGGTTAGTGGCTATTTTATGTGATTCTTCCTTATTTTGTTGCCTAATTCTACAATGCAATAATACAAACAATGTTCACCAACTCTAATACGTTATTTACTCCTCAAAATGAAAATTTTAATTATGGAAAAAATTATGTATTACTTTATGAAGGGCTTAGTTGTGTATGGCATAGGTATTCACGTATTAGTTATTTTTGTTTTCTATTTCAATGTAGAATTGTACATATATTTTCTAATAATTTATATACATGTTACGTATGTAGTTTTAAAATTGTAAATTAAATACTATATTAATTTTATACATAGTTCTAATCAATTTATCAAAATATGGTAGTATTATTTTTGCCAAATTCTACTTATTATTTTTATGTAAAATTATTTGTATTATTTTTAAGTTAATCAGTTAGCAATATTTTTCCTATATCGGATGACCTCCGTGTGTTTTAATTTGGTAGGACATAAAATCTAAAATTTAAATTTTTGGATCAAATGTCAAGTTAGATAAACCACTCTATATTTTACCTCGATTGGACATAAAATTTAAAAAGTAAATGGAATTTAAAGTTTTGTATAAAATGTCTAAGCCACTCTATATTTAACCTCAAATGTACGTATCAAAGAACACGTTCTGAAATACAAATAAAAAGATAGACAAGCAAGATAGGAGAAATCCTATTGAAATAGGAGAAAGACAAAGGCAGAGAGTGTATTTCAGATAAATCACATTAAATGAATATATCTAGAATATCCAAAACATCCAATATATATAGGGAGAGGGGCAGGTAAAATAGGAAAGAGGTGAACGGAAGAATTAATATATCTCTATTCAGATAAATTATATTTGTATATAGCGTATCTAAAAAGTTATATTTAATTTGGCGCACAAATATATATATATATAATTTTAAAAATTAAAATAAAATCAATTAATTAAGTTCTAAATTAATAAAATTTATATCGTTGCTCTTTTGAAATAATTATGTAGAATATTGAAGGTGAAAATCATACTGAATAGTGAAAAAGAATTCTTTTGAGACAAATTGACACAAATAAAGTAATTTCCATCTGAATATAATCAAGAAAATAATTTTGTCATTGAAGCATGCTCTAACGTAATTCATAGATCGTCTTTGCATTCATGTAACACCGATAAATGAGAATACCTGGAGATCTATAATAGTAAAAGAAACAGAAAATTCATATCATGATGCAGCCAACTATCTATTTTATTGTAAATTTTTCATCATGTAAACAATACCAAATGAGACATTTTCAATACAACTCTATGGAAATTCTCTCAACGTCAATCCTTGCCACTTGAACCACCATCTTCATGATCATGTGTTGAGTGCACTACATACACATGTTCCATCAACACAAATACATTTTGGGAACATATCTTCATGACTCATACAATCTTCTGATGTGTTACATTTTCTTAAGCATGTCGCTTCATCTAAAAAGTTACGAAACAATCGTTAGTGTTTTATATTATATATCGACAAAGTAAAGGACTACAAAATCAATTGATCTGAAGGAAAAATAATAAAAAGGAAAACAAAATAGACTAACCACAAGAAAAAAACAAGAAAGCAACTACAAAAAGAGCCATAATCTAAGTTTTATTCATCTTTATGTAAAATAATATAACCTTTAAGAATTTGAGAATATTTTTTAGTTTTGATTATATACAACCTTATACAGTATTTAGCATTGAGAACTTGCCAGAGAAAAAGTTTACAATAGTCTTATTTTAAACTTTGAGTGATTGCTCTTTAATACATTTCTAAATTTGTTTAATTGGTCAACAAAATTTTGTACATAGTCAAAGAAATATCAAAAATTTTAATTACTAACCATAAAGGATAAAACTAAAAATGTTTTTAACGAATATGATATTCATTTAATTTGCTCTCCCTTAGTATATGGGGTAAAAATTAAAATAATTTCGTTAAAAATAAATAACACTAGATGCACATTTAAGGCTATATATATCAAGTTATAAATATATTTTTAAAAAAGTCTTACTTATAGAATATTATTTTGGAGTTATAGCATACCAATTAAAATTAAATTTAATTAAAAAATAATTATAATCTAATATAAATACTAATTAATCTTTTTAAATTTTTAATTTTATTATTACAGTTACCTTTTTAAAAACCACCTCTTTAAATTTTTAGTTTATTAATTATATAGTTCTAGAGTTACATTTTTAAAACTAAATATTCACTTTACATATTTTTAGGAATTTAGATTTATCATGTTCCTTATTTACCGTTACCCAATCACAGCTCACCCCATCACAAGTCAATCGGAGGCTACACGCAAATCTATAAAAATAGAACTTAGATGGGTTTGTCTTGAGAAGGTAGCATAACTACATGAGAATATAATTAAAAATATCCCCTCTGTACAATCATTCCGAAATGGAGAAAAGACTAATACTTTACTGAAAGATGTATTGTAAATGTACAATTGCTATTGCTATTGCTCCAAATAAACACTACAAAAAAACACTTGAATTGTAGGGGTTAAAAATATATTGCGGGGGTCAGTAACCCCCACAACTAAGTATTACGGCAGTTGGAGAAACCCCTACAGTTAGATGTGTCACAATTAAGTTCCGGGGGTTTTTCTCCAACCCCTAATACCATTAGCCGGGGTTCATTAGTGGGGGTTTTGAACCCCTACATTTTAAATTCTAGGATTCAAAACCCCAACAATTTTGAATTCTAGGAGTCAAAACCCCCGCAATTTATGAACTTTACATTAAACTTAACAGGAGCTGAAACTCCTGCCATTTATGAAATGTATCTTTTTATAGAATTTTGCTAAAAAATTCAATTTTAAATATTACTAATTAATTAATCAATATGTACATCATAATCAAACCTAAAAGGACATATTAGTATTAAAAATAACACAATATTTCAATACAAAAATATATCATAAAGTGTATTATAATTTTACAAAGTAAATTGAAATGTCATTCACTTCAACCACTACGATTTACAAGAAACTTCAAATCTTGCTTAAACTTCAAATCACTACAAAAACTTGCTTAAACTTCAAATCACTAGCATCCAAACTCAAGATAGGATCTGCAACGTTATCATGAAACTTTAGCGGGTTTCATCATGGTATCACCTGGCTGCAAAGTGAAATACACAATAAGTAACTTCCATCCAAACTCAAAACATGGATGAATATAGCATACTTGATGAGTTTAGTACTACCCAGCTAGTCAAGTTAGATGGTAGAATAAGACAAGTTAGTTGACAAGAATATATTACAACAATAACAACATAATACACAGTGAAATTTCACAAGCGTTTTTGGGGAAGGTAGAATATACGCACAAGTAATGAATTATCCCCACTTACACATGTCAGAGAGCAAAAGGAAAACAATTACGATTGTTTATGTCCAGCCAAATAATACAACTTACAGGGTTAATACATCATTAGCTACCTTTTGGTGCAACTCAAACCAATTGGGTCTGCGATGGCCACAGGCCACTACTCCCCTGTACTAATTTTAGTTTCTAATGAAATGCTTCATCTTTCTTTACCAAAAAAAAAAATAACAACAAATGGACATTTAACTTTCATTCCATCTTCACTAACTATCTAAAGGACAAAATCAAATAAATAATAAATACAATAAACTCATAAGATTTGTAGAGCGCAGCAGAACGAGTTGTGCATGACTGCTTATAAGAACTTTTATCTTCTTCAATAATGCAACCATAAATATTGACACTATAGCAAGAAAATATTGACACTAAAGCAAGAAAATATTCACAAATATTTCCATCTTTAAGAAACTGAAGTTCTCCAAGGTGTACATTCTCTTACCCAATGGCAGTGTGTGTATTCTATAAAGGAATTTTGCGCACTCCATGTCTATTTTAGCTGAATTATGTCGACAAGAATGTCACTGTTAACTCATGCAGTAACAGAAACTGTTAATCCTCCGGCTAATAATAAGTTTTCACTATCAACTTCAAAGTAAGAAGACATTAAGATTAATGTCAGAAAGTAGTCGAAATCACAAGCTAAAGACAATAGTTATTACATCTACAAGTTATACTGCATTGTACAACTCACTCTCATGGAATGCAGATTATTTGAATTTTGCTCCATGGCCTATAAAGAAATATTCTTCGTGCTAAGTAAAAAATGACAAACTCATTGCACCCGTGCTCAGCACATGCATATTCCCCGATATGTTGTTGGTCTTTTTAAACAATGGTGCAGCAAAAGAAGGCTCTTATTGAATTTATTAAGTATAGAAGAGCTTTAAATAGTCAACTTGATAACATAACCAAATGATAAGGCGTTAAAAAACAAGAAGAGTGAACTCACTGGTAAGTGGTAACAGGAAGTGAAGTCTAGTCTTGACGCTATCAGATTCTCGTACTCAAACTCAGTTACAAGCTAAATTGCAGCAGTAAGCTAACAGTAGAGCTTGTAGAAATGGTATACTCCACTTGCCATTGAAGCTGCATTATCCCAAATGAAAGCTTGTAACTACATGAGAAAAGAAAAAAGTAGTCTTAAAAAATAAGGAAAATTGTTACTGCAACATTTATCATACTAATTATATCTGTCAGAAAGAGTGAAAACAACAAAATTCTTATGTTCGATCACAATGAAGAAGTACCATTAATTCTGTTTGAGAGTCGAAATTCACGTACATTAATATGATTTTAATTAATATTAATAGTTCTTTTCCTTCCCATAATCCCTTTAGATAAAACTAAACATAGTTTATTTCCATATCTAACTCAACAAACAATGTAAACATATCAACAGTTGAATATTATCGAAACAATGAAAACTTCATCATACAACTTTATCACTTCTTACACAGAGAACTATGAACATATCGTCGTACTTGTCAATCCTTAGTGTTTTTTTTAGATTTTGCTTGACTTGTGATTACTACCTGCATTGTCAACATGCTTTGAACTAATTCTATACACGACTAAAATTACTATCTTAATACAATAGAAGTTATATAACTAATTTAGGTATGCTAATGTTTTCACTTTTCTCCAGTGAGATTATTCTTTAACCTTTTAGGATATCAACTATTGTTATGAATTGAATGTATTCATCAATTTGAAATTCCAAAAAAGCATAAACTAAACTAGAATCAAGCGATCAAGCATAACTTGAAATACATGAGATCACATTGCTACTAGAGTAAAATTAGGGCAACTCACTTTATGACTTAACTTTCAAGAATTCTAAACATCGAACCCCAAAAATTTGGACGATTTGAAAAGCAAATTAAAATTTCGAAAGCAAATTCAAACGATGAGGGGGAAAATACCTTAGATTCAGCGATTAACAGCACCAAAAAAATCAAAATTAGCAATTTTTGCTTATAACCAAACTTGAAAAAAATCAGCTTCTTCAACCATTGATTATTCTTATCTACTAAACAAAAGTTGCAAAACTCAGCAATCAACCAACAATTTTCTGGTAAGAACTAATACATGTTGAATAAATTTGAAATTGAAAGAAATTTGAGAGCGAGAGAAGAGTGAGCGACCGGTGAGAGGATGAGAAAAGACTAGATTTTTCTCCTGAGTCTAAAACGGTTCTGCGATTTTTTGGGGAAAAAATGAAACTAGAGCTAAAAGGAAACAAGATTGAACTTTAAGCATTATCTTAAGGAATAAATATCTAGGGGTTATAACCCTCAATGTACTGAAGAAATAAAAGGGGTTGAGATAACCCCCACAATTAATATATTTTTACGGAGGTTATTGCAACCCCCTTAATTAAACCTCCGCAAAATTAGCTTTTTCTTGTAGTGAAAAGATATCAGAAAGGCAGAGATAATGATTGTAATATATGCTCCAATTTATACTTTTTTTACAATACATGTATGAATATGTATTTTCAATTGTTGATTATTTTATTTTCAAGATACTTTCAATATACATAGTTGGGATAATGCACAAGTACCCCCTCGACCTATGCTCGAAACTTCAAAGACACATTTATCCTATTCTAAGGTCCTATTACCCCCTTGAACTAATTTTATTAATAATTTTCTACCCCTTTTTGGCCTACGTGGCACTATATTGTGGGTCCAACGCTGATTGACTTTTTTTTTCAAACTAGTGCGACGTAGACCGAAAAGGGGTAGAAAATTACTTATAAAATCAATTGAGGGGGGGTAATAGGACCTTAGTATAGTATAAGTATGTCTTTGGAATTTCGGGCGTAGGTTGAGGGGGTACTTGTGCATTTTTCCTACGTAGATCATACCATATGGATTCACTATTTTTAACATATTTTAACTAGGGATTCCTTATACCATTGATATTTAAAAATAGTGAATCTATCTGTATGAAATTTGTATGAACTATGTATGATTTTTGTATGAATTATGTATGAATTTTTATTAATACTTGTATGAAAATGGTTGCATAAAATAAAGTTAATATTGAATTAAAACTTGAATAAAATTGATATAAAGTGTGTTGCAATGTTATTTATAGTTGAACGATATTCATAAACAACAACTACTCAAATGTTAATGATACGAAATTCACTCCACAAAAAAAAAATTTGCGTCTAACAGACAAAACAATATAAAAATTGTGTAACAAAAAGTAAAAAACAAGAAAAAAATTGCACAAGATAATTTGAGCATGTCTTCTTGTTGTGTCTAACTTGATGACATCTACTGCAAGTAATCTTTGACCTTTCGAATTTCACATCAGTAAAACTCATTTGACGTTCAAGTTGCGGTCTTCCCACTGATCTCTTTGGACACAGTGACATCAATTTAGGCTCTGAACTATAACTTGGTATATCCTATGTACTCTCGCGGAGAATAGGTTCAACAAGGATGACATATGCATCTTTGAAATTCTTCAGGCTATAAAAAGCATAACAGAAATCTGTTTCATGCAATTTACTGTATCTTAGGACCGCAATTACATGACCACCAAGAATACAAAACAATTAATACATATCAGAATTTCATACAAACGATTCAGAATTCATACAATCAAAATAATATGTGACTTTTCATACCTAATTATTACACATTTCATATCCACTTCATGATATAAAGTGTGTTGCAACGTTATTTATAGTTGGACAATATTCATACATCACAATTACTCAAATATTAATGATATGAAATTCACTCCACAAAATAAAACATGTGTCTAACAGACAAAATAACATAAAAATTGTGTAACAAAAAGGAAAAAACAAGAATTTCTTTTTTTACAGAGGATAATTTGAACATATTTTCCTGTTGTGTCCAACTTGATGACATCTACTGCAAGTAATCTTTGACCTTTTGGATTTCACATCAGCAAAACTCATTCCGCGTTCAAGTTGCGGTCTTCCCACTGATCTCTTTGGACACTGTGGCATCAATTTAGGCTCTGAATTATAACTTGGTATATCCTATGTACTCTAGCAGAGGATAGGTTCAACAGGGATGACATATGCATCATTGAAACTCTTCAGACTATAAAGAGCATAACAGGAATCTGTTTCATGCAATTTCCTGTATCTACGAACCGCAATTATATGACCAACAAGAATACAAAATAAATAATACAAATCAGAATTTCATACAAACAATTCAGAATTCATACAATCAAAATAATATGTGACATTTCATACCTAATTATTACACATTTCATATCCACTTCATGATATTAAGTGTGTTGCAATGCTATCTTTAGTTGGACTATTTAGAAACCACAATTACTCAAATATTAATAATACAAAATTCACTCTACAAAATGAAACTTGTGTCTAACAGACAAAACAACATGAAAATTGTGTATCAAAAAGTAAAAAACAAGAAAATTTTATTTTACAGAGGATAATTAGAACATGTCTTTCTGTTGTGTCCAACTTGATGACATCTACTGCAAGTAATCTTTGACTTTTTGAATTTCACATCACTAAAACTCATTCGACGTTCAAGTTGCGGTCCTTCCATTGATTTGTTTGGACACGGTAGCATAAATTTAGAGTCAGAAATATAACTTGGTATATCACATGTACTCTCGCAGAGGATAAGTTCAACAGGGATGACATATGCATCTATAATATCTTCAGGCTATAAAAAGCATAACAGAAATCTGCTTCATGCAATTTCATGTATCTAAGAATTGCAATTACATGACCAACAAGAATACAATACAATTAATACAAATAAGAATTTCATACAAACAATTTAGAATTAATACAATCAAATAATATGTGACATTTCATACCTAATTATTACACATCTCATATCCACTTCATGATATAAAGTGTGTTGCAATGTTAATTATAATTGGACAATATTCATAAACAACAATTACTCAAATGTTAATGATACGAATTCACTCCACAAAATAAAACTCGTGTCTAACAGACAAAACAATATAAAAATTGTGTAACAAAAAGTAAAAAACAAGAAATTTTTTTTTGCACAAGATAATTTGAGCATGTCTTCCTGTTGTGTCTAACTTGATGACATCTACTGCAAGTAATCTTTGACCTTTTTGAATTTCACATCAATAAAACTCATTCGACGTTCAAGTTGCGGTCTTCCCACTGATCTCTTTGAACATGGTGGCATCAATTTAGGCTCTGAACTATAACTTGGTATATCCTATGTACTCTCGCAGAGGATAGGTTCAACAGGGTTGACATAGGCATCTTTGAAATTCTTTAGGCTATAAAAAACATAACAGAAATCTGTTTCATGCAATTTACTGTATCTTAGGACCGCAATTACATGACCAACAAGAATACAAAACAATTAATATAAATTAGAATTTTGTATAAACAATTCAGAATTCATACAATCAAAATAATATGTGACATTTCATATCTAATTATTGCAAATTTCATATCCACTTTATACACATTTACTATAACTTTCATCATCCTGTACCATACAAAAATTGCTCTTTAGAACATAATTCCTACGAAAAGGATACAAACTTCATACACACTTCATACAAATTAATAAAACTTTTCTCATCTTGTACCAAACAGAAACTGTTGTTCAAAACATACTTCGTACGAAATTTTTTTTTCACAATTCCATCATCTAAAACATAAAAAACAATGTTCTTCAAAACAAAATTCATACAAACAAAAAACTTTCACTTCATACACGTTCAATACAAAAGTCATATAACAATGATCCACCACATTATAAATAATTCTTTCTTGCACGTTACTAAACACATTGTAATATAAATTTCTTTGGCTTTTTTTACTAGTAAATTAACTAATCATTATTTTTTTTTATTTTTTCAGAAAGCACTGTTTCATGTTGTTGCAAATACGGTACCTATCAAAACGCGTTATGAAACAAAACACACCATAAACTGTATAAGGAAGAAAATTACCAAAAACAAACCAACAAACTATAATAAATACCAACCTGACGGATTTCACCTTCCACCATGTTTAATTAATATGGATATGCCGTTGTCCATCACACAAATCACGTTTTTTCCACAATAAATATCGTCAATCACTGAAAAAATGAAAATGCAGTCTGCAAACAAGAGAGAGAAACACGATATAGGAAAAAAATAACAGATTTTAATTTGATTTCAATTCAATTGATCGTTTTAAGGAATCAAATAAAAATTTAATTTGATTTCAACTTAATTGAGCACTTTAAGGAAACTTTTTTTTTTGAATTCCTTAATATGTGCTAACTAGTTATTTTTTAAATGAAATTGTTTTAAATCTCACGAATCATGCATTTTCGATTTAAAAATAGAAATGTTATTTTTTTTAAAAAAAATAAATGTTTTCAATTATTTAAAATCAACCTTTAATTTATAACAATATGCTATAACTTGATATATTAAATGTTATATATTGAAAGTCAAACTCTCATGCTATAGCTTGAGAATATTACCATAAAAAATGTTATAAACGTAATTTTCCCTTAATATTAGATCATATAAATAGATACATGGAAATTAATACTTAATATTGTATACTCATGTATCTAAGTGTTTATTTTATTGGATACATTGATCATAGATACATCAAATTAATGAATTTATTATTTTTAAGAGTAATAAGTTGAAATTAATCAAATTTCATAACTAAGATATATATATTTTTGTCTTTTATTAATAATATTAATGAATGTATTATTATAAAGAGTGATAAAATGAAATTAATTGAACAAAGATACTCTCCTTGATTTCCGCTATATATTAAGAAATTTGATTAATATTTCCAGATTTAAATATGTATGTTGATGTTTAAAATTGTTGTATACGTGTATCTAACGAGTAATGATACATGTATCTAAAGTAAGAAATATGGTACAAGAAGTAATATTTGAAACTATCGTAAAATTCTAGTAATTGGACCTAAATTGGTGGGATTTATGCAGTTTGCCCGTATTTTTTTTTTTTTGGCAAACTACATAAATATCACTAATTTAGGTCCTAATTATAAAGACTTTTGGTATAGTTTCAAATATTACTTCATTTACCATATGTCATTTTTAGAATACATGAATTTGAATGCGCGAGATACATGAATTTACCAAATTTCAAAATCAAGATGCATATTTTATTTATTTAAATTAATTGGTTGTTACTAATTTCCTTATTTAAATGAGTAACTAAGGATTTTCTGAATAAGTGGACAATATAAGGCAAAAATCAAGAATTATATCTATGTTTAATTAGTTTAATTTTATTATTTTTTGAAATAACAAATTCATTAATATTATTAATAAAAGATAAAAACATGTATATCTTGGTCATGTAATTTGATTAATCTATTATCAATATATG